TCCTTGAAAAAGAGCAGTTTGTGGCAGAGTTCTCTCAGCCCCACCCACCTCACAGGGTGTCTGTTGTGGGGAGGGGAAGGGAAAGGAGTTTGTAAGCCACTCTGAGACTACAAGTGAAGGGCGGGGTATAAATCCAATCTCTTCTTCTCTTCTTCTTCCTCTGGACACGTTCCAGCTTTTCAACATCGTTTTTAAACTGTGGTGCCCAAAACTGAACACAGCACTCTCATTCTTTTTTGTTTGTAACTGATGCTTTTCTGTTGGAGGGGTGGGGGATGTGTAATAATGCAGGAGGTGGTCCTTAAAAATGTACCTTTAGGGATTAATCACTATCGATGTGATGTTTGCAATGTACATTTAACCTCCTTTTGTGTTCTCTCTGCAGAGTTATAGACAGCAGTATGAAAAACTTCAAAGCTTTTTCCCGATGGCTCTATGTGGGTAAGAAAAATATGACAAATTATACAAGCTAGTCTTGTTACTTATCAAAGTGTCAGTTCAGTTCTTTGCTGTTACGGTCATTTGACCAAACATATAACTCGTTTATCGAAATAACAATGTTAATTTGGTCCCCTTAAGCAAGTGGCTTCTATTTTTATGGGTTCTCATCATCCTGATGAGTATAGGAAGACACAGACTCCAAAATGCTACTGATACGAATTAGATGAGGGTCTTTGTATCAGTACCATTTTTGAATTAACAGACAACATTGGGGAGGGAAGAGCCAACCTGTTCCCCACCACCACGGAGTGCCAAATACTGGAAATATAGACCAGAGCTGGCTGTTTTGCCTTCTCACAGGCATCTGGCCTGACATGGCTGGGCAACGAACAAGAAACCACTGTGATCAATGATGGGCGGCACTTGCTATGAGATGCTCTAAAATTCAAGCATTTGGGACCCCTAGAAAAAAATCAATGTGAAGGGTCAAGAGCCAAGCAGGTGTGCAACTTTTAAACAGGTGTTTTTTTTTGGGGGGGGGCTGAGCTCATTCTTGCGTGAAGGTTACTGCTTGGTACTGCACAGGATACCAGTCCTCAGGCTTTGGCCCTGGGGTTCAGGTTGCCAACTCTGGGTTGGGAGATTCCTGGAGATTTGGGAGCAGAGCCTGGGGAACGTGGCGCATGGGGAGGGGAGGGAGCCCAGCAGCGAAGTGAGTCCAGAGAGCCCACTCTCTCCAGTTGCCATCTCCTCTGGTCTCTGTCATCCGGGGATCGTTTGTGCTGTTGCGTCAGCTCCCCACCCCACCTGGAGGCTGGCCACCCTGCGTTTCGGGCCTCAGTCTCAGGGCAGTGGGTTGGAATCTCAGGACCCTCAGCTGTCTCCACACGGCATCTTCTAACGACCTCCTGTGGTAACTTTGGCACGTGTACATTAGAATAATTGTGCGGCATTAACAGCTGAACTACATTGAATGCTCAGCACATAGCTGATTCCCATGTTCTGTTTTGTTCTGGAGCGTGGATCAAACTCCACGATTGCTGCTCTTCCCTCGCTCGGACGCCATGTGGTGCCTAGGAACTGACATGTCGCCGTTTGATCTGACATCACCAAGCCCTCTTCCTCATAGCTGATGCTGGAGACCCTGCAGCTCTCAAGCAATGAATGGCTGAATCAGTACTACACGTAGGGTTGCCAACCTCCAGGTAGTGCCGGGAGATCTCCCAGAATTGTAACTGATCTCCAGGCCACAGCGGTCAACTCCCTTAGAGAAAACGGCTGCTTTGGAGGGTGGACTTGACAGCATTGCAGCCTGCTGAGGTCCCTCCCTTTCCCAAACCTGGACTCCCCAAGATCCACCCCTAAATCTCCCGGAATTTCCCAACCCAGAGTTGGCAACCCAAAGAACCCTACATTCCTGAACTCTTATCAGAGTGGCGCAGTCTGCAATCCCATCCGAATGCTGCCTTGAGAGCTCCATTGAACACCGTAGTGTTGGAAATGTATGTGTTTGCAAGGTCTGACAATCCAGTCATTATAGGGTTAACTTGTTTGCCTAGTATTGCTATTGTTTAGAGTGACCTGGAAGGGATACCTGGCATTGAGCCAATGGGGAATCAGCCTGGGAAAAGTAGCTTCTATTGTGATACAGATTGGTTGCTTGTTTCAGGTGACTTCCTTTCTAGGGGTCGAGAAGAAGGACAGATTCTCCATTATCTCTGTGTTAGTGTTGGACTATAGGCAGCTTAGAAAATGTAGCTGTTAGATGTTCTGTTTATTTGTAGTTTTCCCGTGTACCTTTTACCCTTAGAAATAAAGGTTTTTAAAAGCAAAGAAATCTCTTCTTTCCAATAGAGCAAGATCCATTGATAACTCTGAGTAATTTAAATACTTTGACTATTTTTACAACACGTAGGACCTATTTCTGAGTAAGCATGCGTAGGAGTGGGCTGTGACCTGTGAGTAGCATGAGTGCCTCCTCCACCCCCCTTAACCGCTTCTTTCTTCCTTCTTTAAAACCCACCCTGCAGCTCCTGTTTCCACTGTGACTGCCTGCTGCAGTCAAACAAGCATTGCCCAGGAGTGTCCTCTGCCCTCTGGACCCTCTGGCAGAACTGCAGCCTTGAACTGGCCACGAAAGCGATCCCCACGCCCCGACGGCCCCCCTCTTGTTTGTTCAGACTTTGCACACTTCCAGGCTTCCCCTCCATGCAAGGCCCTGAGCCAAAAGACCATCATCTGAAGCTTCTGTTTGCTCAGTGGTGTCCATTGCAGCTTTCGCATCATGCCTGCAACTCCCCCGGCACTCCTTCTCGCCGCCTTCTTCCTGGCAGTTTGCTGGCTGTCCAGACCACAAGAGGTAAGTTTGACCCCTGGCAAAGGACAAGAAACCCTCCTTTCCTTTTTGTGGACCTGATTGCTCCAAAATGTAATCTACAAAAGTATCCAGCCCTCTTAGGTAATAGTGGGATGTCAGTCCCCCTTTTAACCCTGTTTAAGAAGAAGAAGAAGAGGAGGAGAGATTGGATTTATACCCCGCCCTTCACTTGGAGTCTCAGAGCGGCTTACAAACTCCTTTCCCTTTCCCTCCCCACAACAGACACCCTGTGAGGTGGGTGGGGCTGAGAGAGCTCTGACACAAACTGCTCTTTTTCAAGGACAGCTATGCCAGAGCTTGTGACTGACCCACGGTCACATCAGCAGGTGCAAGTGGAGGAGTGGGGAATCAAACCCGGTTCTCCCAGATTAGAGTCCGTGCACTTAACCACGACACCAAAAGAAAGCTTTTGCAACGACTATATTTCTTGATCAGGCTATTCTATTTTGTTTTAAACTGAGCTTTAAAACAAGGTTTGAGGATTGATGAGGAACTTTTTTTAATTATTAGGAACTGAGGTTTGATTAGGAACTTTTTGAAACTTCCCTGTTGCCTAACAAAGTCAATTCTATGCCTTTTGATTTCTTCTTTGCTGGCCCTTCAAACAGCATATTATTTAAAAACAACATAAAAATGATATTTCAGCTGATCCATTCAAAGGCAGCAGGAAAAGAGGAAGGCCCAATGTGAGATGGATGGACTTTGCAAGACATGAGCAAGGCGGTTAAGGACAGGATGGGATGGAGGACATGAATTCACAGGGTCGCCACAGGTTGGGAATGACTTGAGGGCACACTTCACACACACAAGCGTTACTCTGGTGCCGTATTTGAATTTTTTCTGATGCCTTCCATTTTCCAATTGGAAAGAGAAAGTTTTTTTCTTCTTCTTTCCTACAGGCATTTCTAGCTTCTTTGGATGCCCAAGATATTTTCTCTTATTTCAATGCCACTTCAGACTTGGAGGGTAAGAAGGGCCTTTGCTTTCTCTTTTGGAAACTTGTCGATCTCAGTGGGGTTTGCACAAGGGGGCTCTGCAGGGGGTTGGGCCCCATCCATCAGATCTGGCTTTGTTGCTCTTAACGGCATGCTAAAGATACAACTTGAAGTGGTCACTGCAGGCAGTTGATCAAACGGGCACATCACGAGTTATGAAAATAGGCTCTCCAGGAAAATCCTTCAGCCATGGCAGCTGTGGGTGGTGGTCACCTGCACAGACTGGACTAAGTGACCATCTCCTTCCCTGAAAAATGCTAAAGCTCCCTGGGTATGTGGCAGGGGCTCCCCGCATGGGGTCTCTGGGCACCGTGGAACCTACTGACACCTTTCCCAGTGCCTGCCAAGGGCTTTCAGAATGTGGGCAGGGCCAGGTGGGGCTTTTGCCCAGCAGGGCTTCTGATTGGCTGTGCCAGATTAAAAGGCATCTTGTTCAACACAGGGCTTCTGCTTGAAATGTTGAAGCGTTACTATGGCTGTGGTCACACACACTGGCCCAATCTGCATCTAGTATTTGCTCCGCTGTTGTACCAAACCCACACTGGAACAGAAGAAGATGCGTCTCAAAACCACATTCAAATACCCCAGGTTAATGCCGTTCTGACTGCAGAGTCACCCCTGAATGGCCATAAAACAGCCGTAAATCTATGCAAACAGCCACCATAAAACCAGAGATCAAACGAGGTGAAAGCAGCATGCAGTCTGGATGCTGCCATAAAATTTGACAATCAATCAAAGTGAAAGTGGCATGCAATGTAGATGGGAATTTCTGTTCCAGTGTGGGTTTGGTAAGACAGCGGAGCAAATGCTAGATGCAGATTTGGCCATGAAAGAATCCACTTTCAATCCACTGTCCAGAGGTCATTTCGGGGGGGATTGCGGGGGATCGCAGTTCCCCCCGGTGAGGTGCAGGGGGCGGGGCACATGACGAAGCCCCACCCCCTGCTTCCGTCCGCCCCGCTTCCAGCCCTCATTCAGCCAGGAGGAGGCAGGAGAAGAGGGAGGGTAAGGTGCTTCCTCCCCGCCTCTCCCCACCCCTGCCTGCCTGGGCCAGGGAGACCTTGGCGGGGCTTCCTCGCACTCCCGCTGGCCTTGCAGGTCCACCGCCGGGCCCCTGATGTCAGGGGGTGTGGCATATGCTAATGAGTTATGCTAATGAGTTCCCCTAGCTCTTTTTCTACGAAATGACCCCTGCCACTGTCAATGCACTTTCCAACTGGATTTTGCCAGTTCACACGGTAAAAATCCAGTTTGAAAGTGGATTATTCAGTGTGTGTGACCGCAGAGTTATATATTACCTCGCTCCTTGACATTTTTTGTTTGGCTCTGCCTCCTGCAGCAGTAACCATTTTGTGATCGTCTCCACCCCCTGTGGCAGCCATTCTTTTGAGTGTGCCCCCTGCCCCCACCCCCGTGTCAGAATCCCAAGGATGCCTGCAGGCTCAAAAAGGTGGGGGAAATGCTCCCTCTGAGCGGTGGAGTCTTGTGAGCAAAAATCCTCCTTTGTGAGCAACCGGCATTAAAGTTGTGAGCGAGCGATTTGGCTGCTGCATACATTAGTCTGCTCTGGAGCCATCCTTCCTGAGCCAAGACAAAAACGGGTGTGAGCTGGAGGCTGAAAAACTGTGAGCTAGCTCACACTAACTCAGCTGAGAGGGAACATTGTACTGGGACCCCAGTGTATGGCCTGAAAGAGTGATGAGATGTGTTTCAGCTGTTCATTGCTTCTGTTGACACCAGGCTTTTCTACCTTGGCATCCCAATCTTCACAGTGCCCGAGTTCCAGGTTGTGTACCTCACTTGTTCCTGCAAAGAAGGACAGTCCAGGCTAACACCTTGCAGAACCCAGCGATGCTCCCTTACAGCTTGGGGGGAGCTCTATGCCTTTGAGTTCCTGGAGGACTGCGCCCTCCTCTCCACCTCTTTTGTCAGTGAGCAAAGGCTGAATTCTTCCGTCAGTTTGCTGAGGCGTTTCTGGGGCAATTGCTTTGCCGGAGGAAAGGTCCTGAGCCCTCCAGGGGCGGAAGGCCGATTCACATACTGCGGAGGGCAGCTGGTGAGTTTAGTCTCAGCTCAGTATATTTTGGGGGGGGTCACATAATGTCCTGCACTGTAGACGAAAGGAGGTGGAAACGGAGTGGCCAGCTCCGGGTTGGGAAATACCTTTGGGGGTGGAGCCTGGGGAGGGAACTCGGCGAGGTGCGATGCCGCAGAGTCCGCCCTCCAAAGCAGCCATTTTCTCCAGGGGAACAGATCTTGGTCATCTGGAGATCAACTGTAATAGCGGGAGGTCTCCAGGTGCCCCCTGGAGGGTGGCAACCCTAAGGTGCAATTCTGCACTGATTTATTAGGATGCAGTCAGTGCAAGCTGCTCCTCAATCTGAGACAGAAAAGCTCGTTCTTATATTTTCTTTTTTATCCATCAACATGCTAGAACCAAAACAGACTTTTAAAAAAGCACCAGACAATCCCACTTCTGGCTCTCCAGTGGCCAGCACCAATTAGCAGGTGAAATCTATGGTTCCCCAGTCTCCTGATGAAATCCGTTCAAGCTTTGCGGCCTTCCTTATTTTGCACAGACTGGCTCAGTCTCTACAGTTTACTCCAGATCTGCAAGTTAAGCATATCCAGAATCTGGAAACTGTTTAGAGAAAAGAAAAACGGCTGTTAAGATTTGTAGAGTTGCCAACCCTGGCTTGGGGAAATCCCTGGAGATTTGGTAGTAGATCCTGGGGAGGGTGGGCTTTGGGAGGGTAGGACCTCAGTCAGGCATAATGCCACAGGGTCCCCCCTCCGCAGCATCCACTTTCTCCTGGGCAACTGATTTATGTTGTCTGGAGATCGGTTATGGTACCAGGAGATCCTCGGGCCCCACCTGGAGGTTGGCAACCTTAATTTCTAAGGGTTGGTGTTTACGGTGTTTATTCCAGTAATTGGTTCCTTCCTTTTTTTTTTTTTAAACGATTTTATTAAAAGATAAGTCAAGTATACATAAACAAGATTACTATTTAAACATTAATACAGCCTGTAAGTGCAAATTCATTTAACACAATGCCATCTATTAACTTGTCAGCAGGTACATCTTATTACCTTGTCACTTTCTTGTTATTTTCCACTTGTTCTACTAGAGTAGTAACATATAATATACCGTATAATAAATCCAGATATATTTTAGAAGGACCTTAAAAGTTTCCATACATATATATATTTTTGAGAATGCTAAAGCCATAATTTTTTTTTAAAGATGTATCCAATCTGCATAACTAGTATTTGCTGGTAACACACCGTTTTCTGTAAAATATGTTATAAGAGGACTCCATTTTCGATTGAAATTGGCATGGGATCTCGCATATCCTTGTATGTGGGACTCATATTTATCTGCTACTTTATGATCCATCACATAATGGTCCCAACATTTATTTCTCCATTGAGCAATAGAAGAAGAATCATGATTTTTCCATGAGGCAGCAATAGCAAGCCGTGCCGTGGCTATTAATGTGGCGGCTAATTCAGTAATTTTAACTTCCGATTCCTCAATAGTATAACTTGAGTTAAGAAGCAATACAGCCGGATCAAGTGGGATGTCTTCTCTTGTGATCTTCTTTATTTCTTTCAACACTTGGTTCCTTCCTGAACACAACTATTCAAGAGAGTTTCAGCTGAGGACCAAAAAACATCCTTCTTCAAATACAGAAAGACATTATAGTCTCAGCCTCGGGTTGCCAGCTCTGGGTTAGGAAACACCTGGAGATTTGGAGAGTGGGGCCGCCTGAGGAGGGCGGGGCTTGGGAGGGGAGGGACCTCAGTGGGGTACAATGCCATCGAGTCCTCCTTCCAAGCAGCCATTTTCTCTAGGTGGACTGATCTCTGTTGCCTGGAGATCAGTTGTAAAAGCGGGAGGTCTCCGCCCACTACCTGGAGGCCGGCAACCCTATTTCAACCTCACACACCCCGAAACAAAGAACTGTGAAGTCTGTGACAGGCAGTGCAGTTAATCAGAGGGACCAGGAGTTCCACGGAGCAGTCTGTCAGGGAAGAAGGGCTGGGAGGACAGGCAGAGAATTCTGGGAATATCCAGGGGTCATTTCGTAGAAAAAGAGCTAGGGGGACTCATTAGCATAACTCATTAGCATATGCCACACCCCCTGACATCACTGGAAGTGTGTCATAAGGCCACACACCCCGCCCCCAACGGTCCTGGCCGCTGCCGCCGGCCTTGCAGCCTCACTGCAGAGCCCCATGAGGGGCCCGGCGGTGGACCTGCAAGGGCGGCGGGAGTGCAAGGAAGCCCCGCAAAGGCCCTCCCTGGCCCCAGGCAGGCAGGGGTGGGGAGAGGCAGGGAGGAAGCAACTTACCCTCCCTCTTCTCCTGCCTCCTCCTGGCTGAATGAATATCCATTCAGAAGGGGGAAAGGACATGCCTTTTAAGGCAGCCATAGGTTCAAAAACATGCCTTGGGATTTAGTTTTTTTTTTAAATTTAAAACATTTATTAGCCACCTTTCTACCTTATAAGAATAAGGAATTTGAGGCCTAGTAATGCTGCTGGCAAGAAAGACTCTTGAAAGCAGAACAGAGTAGCCAGTGCCACCTTCCGAAATTTGCCATCCTGGGGGCCATTTCAGGTTGGGAAAATGGCACCAGAGGAAGCCTCCCCTTCCCTCACCAGCCATGTGCTTCATTCCTGATCTGAATTGGACTCCTGTGTACCTGAAAGTTGAGTTTAAACGCTCCAGTCACAGAATTCTTGGCACCTTTCTGGTTTGGCCCTCACAAGAAACATTTGCCTTCCATAATTCAGATGCTTCTCTCTTTTGCTCTGCTTTCCATTACTGCTTAGTTTTTGGGTTTTTAAAAAAATTGCACTAGCAATCAAGGCTGATAACGCCAGGGTGGGTTTTTATTTCCTCCAGAAAGGAGTTGCCATGGTCCCTGTGGAGAAGGTTCACATTCAGCCTGTAAGAAGCAAACACTTGAAGCTGCTGAGGGGCCTGCGTCATCCCAAGCCTCACATTGTCTTCAAGACTCCCCGTAGCCACACAACAGTACTGCCAGGTAGTCTTCTCGTGGCCCCACGGCAGAGCCTGGAGGGGGTGGGGCCGGGCAGTGACTGTTTTCTGGGGAACTTTGACCTGACCTATCTCTGTGATTTGCACCCCACAGCTCCCCTCCTGTAATTGATTCCCCAGGTTTCCTGCTTGATGCTGTTTCAGCTCAGCTTGATTACTTTAAAAGGGAACTAAACAAACATGTTCACTGTTCTGCAGAGCTCTGCTGTCTGGTGGTGAGATCTAGAACTAGAAGCATGCTTTCTCAAAGGGCAAACTGCCCAAACTATCAGAGCATCCGTGCAGAGAGCATCTGACTGGCATTCAGACTTCTACTCTGATGTTTTTTCACCCCCCCCCCCAATACTCTCTGTGTCATAGGAAGAAAGCTTCTATCCCGAGTCCGGAAAGGGGCTGAGTCGACTGTAAAACACTTGGAGCTGCTTGTTGTGGTGGGGCCAGATGTCTTCTGGTTCCATAAAGAAGACACGGAGAGGTACATCCTCACCAATCTGAATATTGTGAGTCATTTTCGACTGTGCTGGGCCTTTGCCTGTTTTCTGACGGTGGTACAGCTTGTGATACTAAGTAAAATGGCTTCAGACCAACACGACTGACTACTGGATCTAAGTAAAATGGCGTCCATTCATGCAGCTCTCCTCGCCCCTGTCTGGAAGGTTCAGCAAAAAAAAAACAGCAGAACTTATCTTTGTCCTGGTATCACAGCAGTCTGGGTCCCCCTCTCCCTGCTCCATATTATTGGCTGCCGCTGGTCAGGTCAGGGCTGGGGGGGGAAGTAAGCCCCCCTGGCCCTTCAGAGGGGAGGGAGGTGTCACGGCAGGGGCAGGGGGCGTGATGCAGGCAAGCAAAGTCCAAGAGCAGTCCGAAGTCAAGCCGAGTAAGACAAGCAGCAAAGTTCAAACAGGTTTAAATCAGAATCCAAAGCCAGGGTCAGACATACCAGAGTTCAATGTCCATAAATCCAAACGATGCCAGAGGAGTCAGAGACGAGAGCAGGGTCAACGAAGCCGAGGGTCAAAAGCCGAGGATCAAGACGACAAGAGTTCTGGAGCAGAGATACACGGAGTGAGGTCCTGTCAAAAGACGTTTGCCAGCACGAGTTCCTGCCAGCAACAGGCTTGAAGATATACAGTGCTGGCTAATTAACTCGTTAGCTGGCAGGGAGGAAGGTCATGTTCCAGTCAATACTCAGGGCTGAGAGATCGTCTTCCACGCATGCGTGCATCCCGGCGTCGATCTCTCAGCTCCTGTCTCTGTTGATTCCGGAGCCTGGTCACAGCTGGTGGTGAATCGGGCGAGGAATCTCTGTGCTGCAGCAAAGCCTGATCCTGTGCAGGTGTTTCCTGGGAGGCTCTATCCTCCTCATCACTTAGGGAGCTTTCAGCCACAGGAGCCAGTCTTTGTCTATAAGTCTCTGCTGCAGTACGTTCCTCAGGAGCCTGTGGTGTCAACTCCACATGCTCCTGGCTGGCAGGTGCCTCATCAGGGTCATCAGCAGGGGCAGGCATGACAGGAGGAGCTTGATGAGCAGGGGCAGGTTTGAGGGCAGCTGCACGTTTTGCATCACGTTTAGTTTGGCCGGAAACCTTTGGGGGTGCTGTTTGGAGCCACTCTGAGCCAAGAAGACCATGAGCCCCTGGGAATGTCACTTTTCCCCTCGGGTTGCCAACCTCCAGGTGGTGGCTGGAGATCCCCTGTTATTACAACTGATCTCCAGGCAACAGAGATCAGTTCCCCTGGAGAAAATGGCTGCTTTGGAAGGTAGTTTGGTCCCTCTCCTCCCCAAGCTCCCATCCTCCCCAAATCTCCAGGTATTTCCCAACCTGGAGCCGGCAACTCTACTTTCCCCCCTCTCCCTAAGGAGTAGGGTTGACAGCTCTGGGTTGGGAAATACCTGGAGATTTGGGGGGTGGAGCCTGGGGAGGGGTGGGGCTTGGAAAGGGGAAGGGTACAAGGCCACAGAGCCCATCCTCCAAAGCAGCCATTTTATCCAGGGTAACCAATCTCTAGTTGTAATAGCAGGGGATATCCAGGCCCCGTAAGACACAGGGAGGGGAAAACAAACCTGACCTAAAAACTGGAATCAAGAACCACAAGAAGTCTGATAAAGGGCCAATGTTAAAAACCTAGTTGAAACTTATTGAAAAGTACGCAGACGGACAAGTGATTTCAGCTTAGCGTACTTTATTTGATCAAGAACAAGACAACCCTAGCAGGCTCTCAGGCCGGCTTATATCCCTGTAAATCCACCACCCAGAACCCCCCCCCACTTCCCAATAGGTCCTAACTAGTGGCCAAGAGTCCCATAGGCTCTCGGCCCGGAGCCTAGCCCTCTGGTTGGTGCGGGCTAGGATCCGCATCGTCCTTTGTTTATTGGAGTGAAGCTTGATGCTTGCTCCTCTTGACCGCGTGGTGCCCAAGCGGACCACGCGGTCGGAACTTGATACATTACACTTATAGTATACAAAAATACGTTAGACAGTTAAAAACATATAAGGGCCCAATGAAAGCCTTGTTAAAAAGTTCAAGTGGCCTAAAAACAAGGGCCAGTACACATGATCGGATGCATTTCCACCCAATTTGGGCCTTCTTTAGAGGTCAAACATTATTGAGGTACACGTAACAATAGTACATATTACAAGAAGAAGAGAGTCCCTTGGACTGCAAGAAGATCAAATCAGTCAATCCTAAAAGAAATCAACCCTGACTGTTCCCTGGAAGGCCAGATGGCCACTAAATGAGAAGGGAGCACTCACTGGAGAAGACCCTGATGCTGGGAAAGATTGAAGGTCAAAGAAGACAGGGACGGCAAAGGATGAGATGGTGAGACAGTGTCATAGATGCAACGAACATGAAACTGAGCAAACTTCAGAGGACGGCAGAAGACAGGAGGGCCTGGCGGGAGCTGGTCCATGGGGTTGCGAAGAGTTGGACTCGACTGTGCGACTGAACAACAACAACAAGAAGATAACCAATAAGTTAATACTGGACCAAGAAAAGGAAAGCTGTAGAAAAAAGAAAAAAAATTGAATATGAATAATCATTTTTTTAACTTACAGTGTAGTAAAATGGCTATATTACTTACTTTAGAAGCAAGCTCTATATTATTGATTTTTTATTTCTGCTATTATGTTGGCTTTTATTTACTGCATTAGCTTTAGAAATATATTTTATTTTTTAGATGTTCTAATTTAGCAGCTGTGCATTTGGCACCAGACTTTCATCTTTAGAGGCCTCACAAGCATCTTTGTCTTGTGTCTATAGATCTTGCTGCTTTTGCAGCCTAGAGAGCCAGTTTGGTGTAGTGGTTAAGTGCCTGCCTCCTCCTGGCTGAATGAGGGCCGGAAGCGGGGCGGCCGGAAGCAGGGGGCGGGGCTTCGTCATGTGCCCCCCCCCTCACACCTCACCCGGGGGAACTGCGATCCCCTGCGATCCCCCCCGAAATGACCTCTGATGTTAAAGATAGTTTTTCCTTCTAAAGTTTTTGAAAAAGCAGATTAATTAGTTTATTTCTAAGTGGACTTAAAGCTTTCATTAACTTTTTTTTGGTTTCCCCCCCGGCAGGGTGCTGAATTGCTCCGAGACGCCTCGCTGGGAGCTCAGTTCAGGGTTCACCTGATCCGAATGATCGTCCTCACAGAGCCGGAGGTGGTAAAATCCATTCAGTGAGGGGCAGCTGAGGCTGCCGCTAGGTCTTGGGGAATTTCTGGAGACTTGGGGACGGTGCCTTGGGAGGGCAGAGCTTGGGGGGTGGGCAGTCAAAGAGTCTACCCTCCAGAGCTGTTGTTCTGCACTGAGCTCTGCACTTTGCAGAATGGTTGTAATTTTGGGAGAATCCCAGGCCCTGCCTGGGGGTTGGTGACCCGAGGCAGAGCCTGTCCAGGACCCTGGGGCTTCTGAAGGCCCCTCATGAACATAAGAGAACATAAAAGAAGCCATGTTGGATCAGGCCAGTGGCCCGTCCAGTCCCACACTCTGTGTCAGACAGTGGCCGAAACCCAGGGGCCATCAGGAGGTCCACCAGCGGGGCCAGGACACTAGGAGCCCTCCCACTGTTGCCCCCAAGCACCAAGAAGACACAGCATCATTGCCCCAGACAGAGTGTTCCATCTGTCCCTTGTGGCTAAGCCACTGATGGACCTCACCGCCTGAGGCTGAAGGCCATCCTAGTGGCTGTGTGCTTAGAGCTCCCCCTCCCTGCACAGAAGGGAAGAGGGCTGGAGCCTTGTGATTGGCTGGGGCATGAAGCCTCAGGATTGGGCAAATAAGGGGAGGAAGAGGAGGCTGGCCTTCTGCTTGGGCCACTTGAGGCACTGGCTGCTGATTTCTGGCCCAGGGAAGCTATTTCAACTCCGGGTCTGGATGTCACTTCCAGCAGCCCTGGCCCATCTGTGACGCAGCAGCCCAGGGGAAGAGAGAGAGGAGGAGACTCTGGAAAGAACCTCCTGCAGATGGAAAGCCCACCTGACTTTTTAAAGAACGGAAAGGCCTTGTGTGCTGCTTCCTGTTGTACTCCTTAGGCCGTTTCTCTCCAAATACGGGTGAAATTGCTCAGAACAGTTATGTCCATTTTCCATTTCATTTATTAGCTTCATTGACCCGAGGTCTTAAGCCAAACATGCAAACAGCAACTAATAAAATGCTGCTGGGGAAAGTTGCAGCCTGAAGTGGTAGAAACTGTGTGAAACTACTCTGGATGTACCTGTTAAAGAATGCTTAATAAGTATTTCCAAAAATCAACGATTTTTATAATGAATTATTTATAAAGATTAATATTCTGCAACACAGTACAATTAACACCAAAACAATAATTTAACACACAAGGGAAAACAATGCTATTAAATGGGAAATCAATCCACAACAAGTGTCCCAACAGAGCTTGTCACAAAATAATCGCCTAAAGTGTTAGTCCATACATTCACTCAAGATCACAGCAAATGGAAGCGATCCACCATTCTTCATTCCATGCTGGATATTAGTCTCCGGTGATGACGATCCCAGCCTCGAACGGGCAAGCTAGCTACAATCAACCGCATTTCGCCAAGGTTTTCTCAAAATCGGAACTGCTTTCCAATTGGGATCAGTAACATTCTGGGCACAAAATCAGGAAAAATACTTCTCAAAGCCATTACGCTGCAAAGAACCTGTTCCCTGTTTAGTTACATTGTTTCCCCTTGTAAGTTAAATTATTGTTTTGGTGTTAATGTTACTGTGTTACTAATTATTAATCTTTATAAATAATTCATTATAAAAAAAGCTGGACTGGCTTGATAAGAGGGGACTTAAACTCACGGGCTGATTTTGCTGCGCTGAACTTAGGGTTTGAGCACATTCAGGTGTATGGAGAGAAACTAATCCAAATCCCATTCTTCCATACCATTCTTGTAACCAGGGGTCGTTTCCCAAGGTTTTCTCAAAATCAGAACTGCTTTCCAATTGGGATCAGTAACATTCTGGACACAAAATCTGGAAAAATACTTCTCAAAGCACTTATGCTGCAAAGAACCTGTTCCCTATTTAATTACATTCTTTCCCCTTGTAAGTTAAATTATTGTTTTGGTGTTAATGTTACTGTGTTACTAATTATTAATCTTTATAAATAATGTGTTACTAATTATTAATCTTTATAAATAATTCATTATAAAAAAAGCTGGACTGGCTTGATAAGAGTGGACTTAAGCTCACGGGCTGATTTTGCTGCGCTGAACTTAGGGTTTGAGCACATTCAGGTGTATGGAGAGAAACTAATCCAAATCCCATTCTTCCATACCATTCTTGTAACCAGGGGTCGTTTCCTGCTGGAGCGCCCTGAAGCGGTGCTCCAGCAGGAAAGAGCCCAGGCCCCACCCCCCGCCCACGAAGACACTCAGGGAGGGGGGGATTTAAATGTCTGGGTTCCTTGCCCAATCTCCAGGTGCCCTGCACGGGGCACCTGGAGGAGATCGGGCAGGGAACCCAGGCATGACTGGGTTGGACACCATGGGCCATAACTCATTTGCATAACTCATTTTAAACATGCCTGCCCTTTTTTAGGGAGTGTGGCATATGCAAGTGTGTTATGCAAATGAGCTCCTGCACCTCTTTTTCTAGGCAATGACCCCTGCTTGTAACTGAATTTGAAAATGGACTACAGTTTCTGAGAATTTCAGCCCAGTTGGTTAAGAGGAGGGAAAGCAGTTCCCCATTGTACCAGTGTGTAATGTATTCAGCCTGACATGCCTGGACTTGCCCGGGCTGGCCAGGCACATTTCCTCAATAGCTTCAAGTCTAAAGACAATGGGTCCGTAGGATCCTAGCCGGCCCAATGAAAGGGCTAGGTCCCAAGCCGGGAGGCCAATGGGTCTCTCGGTTACTGTAAATAGCCTATGGGGAGTAGGGGGTGTGTTTAGGTGAGCTTGGTGGCGGGTTTTCTGAATGAATATAAAGCGGCCTGCGAGCTGGTCAGTTGTCTTTGTTCTCAACCAAATAAAGGTATGCTTAGCTGAAATCACTCGCCGTCTGCATACTTTTCACTGGCGACGAAGAATGTGAATGCATGAAACAATGGGAATAATTAAGAACATGCACACGATGGCAGGTGAGCCGAATGCAAATCCCATTTCTGTGCGCCCTCCTGCCTCTCTCCCAGGAAGGCATCAGCATCACCACCAACCTCACTTCCTCCGTCGTCAGCGTCTGTGAGTGGGCCAGGAAGGTCAACCCTGAGAACGACTCCGATCCCAGCCATGCGGATCTCGTTCTGTATGTGACCAGGTAACAAAGCTTCTTCCATTTATTTATATATGTACTTCTCCCCAGTGGGAAACCAAAACACCTTACATGGTTCTCCTCTCCTCCATTCTGTCCTCACAACAACCCTGCAAGGTAGGTTAGGCTGACAGTAGGTGGCTGCCCAAAGTCCCCAGCAAGCTTCCATGGCAGAGTGGGGATTTGGAACTGGGTCCCCAGGAACCTAGTCCTTTGTTGCCTTTGAGCCACGTACGAGGTGAGCCCAAGGGGGCACGTAGACAACGAGGGGTGGAGGGCAGGTGGAGCTGAACTATCTGCTGTTGGCTTTGGCTTCCAAAATTCTGTCCCCTTGGCCAATCGCTGCAGGCACAATCAAGGCAGGAGGAGCCGGGACAGAACAGGGCAGGTCAGAGGTGGAGCCTTCTGGAATCTGGAGTGAACTGACTTTGCAGAAGCCAGTACTAGTTGTTGGAAGGGTACTGGTTCTGGTGGTCCAGATCCGCCGTACTTAGCAGAGTGCACAGCTTTAATGCAGCAGCTCTTTGTCCCAAACCTACCGTGTGCTTGCAAGTGTAAAAAGTCACACAGAACCACGTTTCAGTTTAAATGAAACTAAGAATTACTTTATTCTAGAAATACACACTTGATAGTACAGAGTAGAGAAGTAGAGATGGTTCCTATGCTGTCTAGCTGGCAGATGGATGAGGATGCTGAGAGGAGCATCCTGCATCTCCATCTTGTGTGCATTGAAGAGAGAGAAGAGAGGAGATGGAAGGACGTTCCCTTTTCCCTAAAGAGTATTGATCTACACTTCAGAGGGAGTCAGTGACAGCAGGGTAAACAGAAGATGGTTTGTGTTTGCCTCTCTGCCTGCAACTCTCTGTGGTCACCTGTCTTCCGTTTCTCGCAGTGATCACGATTAGGGCGTCTGAATGTCCTTCTCGCAATGTTTCCCCCCCCAAGCTTCTGCTGTCGTGCGCATGAGCAATCCTGCACTGAATAAATTCAATTTATAAACGTTTGAGTACACATATAGACTTCAGTGCTCAGTTGTATGTCACAGGTTAATTTTGTTCGCTGTTCATGGGGGGAAATCCTGCAAAAACAAGGGAGTATGGCAAGTCCCAGTGGGAGCGGTGATTCAGCCATGTGCATATGCGCATGGGCAAAGCCAATTTTTTTTAAAAAAAACAAGCCGCGCCACTGCTTGGGTGGCGCAGCTATCTGGACGGTGCCTGGAGCCTCGTTGCACGATGCAAGTGGTTCGGGGAGGGATGTGTGATCAAATATTCCCAATCAAATCTATAGCAGGAACAAATAAGCTTGCTGTGTGACCACACCGTAACTCAGCTTAGAGGGAACACTGGCCCTGATTAAAATGACCAAGGGGCCACTCCAGACTATACTATGTTTGTTCAGCAGATGTAGGAAGATTGGTATTGAGAGCCAGTGTGATGTCGTGGCTAAAGAACCCCAGGTTTGAATCTCCACTCTGCCGAGGAAGCTTGTTGGGTAACCTTTGGCCAGTCACACACTCTCCACCTAGCCTACCAGCAGAGGTCATTTCGGAGGGGATCACGGGGGATCGCAGTTCCCCCGGGTGAGGTACAGGGGGCGGGGCACATGACGAAGCCCCGCCCCCCACTTCCGGCCGCCCCGCTTTCGGCCCTAATTTAGCTAGGAGGAGGCAGGAGAAGAGGGAGGGTAAGTTGCTTCCTCCCGGCCTCTCCCCACCCCTGCCTGCCTGGGGCCAGGGAGGGCCTTCGCGGGGCTTCCTTGCACTCCTGCCGGCCTTGCAGGTCCACCGCCGGGCCCCTCATGGGGCTCGGCAGTGGAGCTGCAAGGCCGGTGGCGGCAGCCGGGACCGTTGGGGGCGGGGTGTGTGGCCTTATGGCACACTTCCGGTGATGTCAGGGGGTGTGGCCTTATGACACACTTCCGGTGATGTCAGGGGGTGTGGCATAGGCTAATGAGTTATGCTAATGAGTTCCCCTAGCTCTTTTTCTACGAAACGACCCCTGCCTACCTGACAAGGCTGCTGCAAGGATAAAATGGAGGCGAGTGAGGAAAGCTGTTCTGGGTCCCCAACGGAGAGAAGTGGGGGTATAAACAAAGTAAATAAATAATTAGCCAAATACATTTGTATGAATGAGCTGGACTTGGTCAGAGACAGGGCCTCTTGCAAGCCAAGTATGGGAGAAATCTGGTTTGTGAGAGCGAAAAAGGGAGAGTGCCCAACTCTTCTTGAGGGCTGCATGGGCACCAAGGCAAAGGAGTCACAGGTTGGTGAGGGTGAGCCTGCAAGGCAGTTTTTGAGGCAGGGGGACAATTCGTAAATAATCACCATAACTGGGAGAGGGGAACGGGCTCTTCTCCTGTTTTCCATGGGAAGCACCCCCTTCCCCCATCGCATCACTCAGCTTGAGGCTGGTTTGCTGCTTGTGGCACGCCCCAAACCCAGAAATCTCTCCCCTCCTACCTAAAGGAGCCAGCTCCCCCCCTCCCCATGACCCCTTTGGTGGAGAAAGGAGGCTATGCCGGCGTAGTGTCGTGGTTTAGAGCAGTGGGCTCTAATGTGGAGAACAGGGTTTGGTTCCCCACTCTTCCTCCACATGACCTTGGGCCAGTCCCACTTCTCTCTCTCTCAGAGCTCTCTCGGCCCCACCTGCCTCACAAGGTGCCTGTTGTGGGGAGAGGAAGGGAAGGCGATTGAAAGCCGCTTTGAGACTCCTTCGGGTAGAGAAAAGCGGGGTATAAAAACCAACTCAGTTTGGTGTAGTGGTTAAGTGCGCGGACTCTAATCTGAGAGAACCGGGTTTGATTCCCCACTCCTCCACTTGCACCTGCTGGATGACCTTGGGTCAGTCACAAGCTCTGTCAGAGCTGTCCTTGGAAAAGAGCAGTTTCTGTCAAGAGCTCTCTCAGCCCCGCCTACCTCACAGGGCGTTTGTTGTGGGGAGGGGAAGGGAAAGGAGTTTGTAAGCCGCTCTGAGACACCTTTGGGTAGTGAAGGGCGGGGTATAAATCCAATCTCTTCTTCTTCTTCTTCTTCTTCTTCTTCGGAGTGTGTAAGCCGCTCTGAGACACCTTTGGGTAGTGAAGGGCGGGGTATAAATCCAATCTCTTCTTCTTCTTCTTCTTCTTCTTCTTCTTCTTCTTCTTCTTCTTCTTCTTCTTCTTCTTCTTCTTCTTTCCTCTTACACATTACTGTCTGATAACGCACTGGGGGCTCATGAGGAACTGCTGTGTATGTTGTCTGGGGGGGGGGGTAAGAACATAAGAGGAGCCAATGTTGGATCAGGCCAATGGCCCATCTAGTCCAACACTCTGTCACACGGTGGCCAAAAATACCCGGTGCCATCAGGAGGTCCAGCAGTGGGGTCAGGATGCTAGAAGCCCTCCCACTGTTACCCCCTCTCCCAAGTACCAAGAAGACAGAGCATCCCTTGCCCCAGACCAAGAGTCCCTATCTATACTTTGTGGCTAATAGCCACTGATGGACCTCTGCTCCATCTGTTTATCCAATTCCCCCTTGAAGCCGTCCATGCTTGTAGCCGCCACCCCCTCCTGTGGCAGTGAATTCCATGTGTGAATCACTCTTTGGGTGAAGAAGGACTTCCTTTTATCCGTTCTAACCCAACTGTAAGCAATTGCGGAATTGCCCTCTACCCCTAGACAATAACATCAGTTCTTTGGTGCTCAAGCAGGCAAATTTTCCTCCTGCCCACCCCCCACTCCCCTCCCCCTCCCCCTTCTTCAACAGAGGCTCAGCCACTCTCAACAGTCTGCACCATCTGGAGGGCAGGGAACAGATTCAGTCCTCAGCAGGCTGGGTTTTTAAAAAGTTATTTCTTCTGTTTTAAAAGGTACATGCCTATTTTACTGCATATTTACGGAGTCCCCTGAGTATGTCAACCCTGGTCTGGGAGGGGCCCTTGGGTGGCAGGTCTGGAACAGAAGTCCTCTGAGATCTTCACCAGACATGCACTGAGCAGAGTGGGGCCGCCCTGCCTTCCACACATTCTGCCGGACATTCCAATAACAATTTTTATTTAGAGAAACAAAAGATTAACAGTAACTACATTTGGAATGATATGCTTAGATACACTTAATAGGGGTAAACCTACCGTACCCCTTAGATAGCGATTGATATGAAACAATTTAACCAGAAACAAAGCATTAGTATCACCAAACTTAGTGTGATATTCAAACTTAGTACATCTAGCAAATGGTGACCATATAAACAGCGCTTACAGTAAGAAACCTCAAAACAAGGCCAATGAGGTATGTGAGGAGAGGGTGCTGATCGATAGTTAAAAAGTAACAAATAAGTGTAAGAATTAAACAAAGCATAAATATGCAGTGATTGATAATACGCTCATATAAACAATATAAAAACATTTGAGAAAGACAAAAAGGCACACTATCCAAATTAAATCCATTTGATATAGTTCTTCCAGTGGGGAGAGATAAATTCCTCTGACTCTAGAAAAGACAGTACTGGGAACCATTTCGCAGTAAAGTTAGATACCGAGGGATTTCTGGCATTGCAATTGTGTTTATCAGTTATGCTTTCCATCAAGAATTGATCCCATAGTTTCCTAAACCA